TCCTACTTCATTTTCCCACCTAAACTTTTTTACCTAATTAATTAAATATTTTTTTTGTCAAATAATTAATAAATCTTATTTGGTAAGTAAATGTATAATAAAAATTAATTAAAATCTATTAATTAGTAATATTGTATAATTATGGTTTTCTATTGAGTACCTATATTTATTTATATTGAGTAATAAGTAATATGATATTCTGACAATCTATGATTATCCCATTTTAGTCTCCAACAAATATTCAAGTGATATTATTACCTTAATATATATATATATATATATAAAATTCCTCCTACTTCATTTTTCTGTCCAAACTTTTTCTACCCATTTAATTAAATATTTTATTTGTTAGATAATTAATAAATCTTATTTGGTAAGTAAATATATAATGGAAATTAATTAAAACTTATTAATTAGTAATATTTCATAATTATAGTATTTCTTTTGAGTACCTATATTTATTTATATTGAGTAATGAGTAATATGGTATTCTGACAATCCTCATATGGTTACCCTATTTTAGTCTCCAACAAATATTCACCGTGATGTTATTACCTTAATAATAATAATAATAATAATAATAATAATAATAATAATTATTATTATTATTATTATTATTATTATTATTATTATTATTATTATTATTATTATTATTATTATTATAATTGTTAGAGATGTTATTATTTACATTATTATTTGTATTAGTTATGTTGACTAGTCTTTATATTAGACTAGTTATTTATGGCTTTCCTAGTTAATAGGATTAGTTCACGCTGTGTATTTAGAATACTGTTCTGTAATCTCTATTGTGTTGGAATTGAAACTGCAATCCTTATCTCATCTGGTATCAGAGCCGGGTTGGTTTCTCTCTCCTCCCAATTTCTCTCCGATCTTTTTCGATCGTCACCTCCTCCCCCAAAGTCGACGGCGATACACCATGTCTACTAACTCATCCGAGAGGACAGTATCCGCCGGCGATCCTACCCTCCCTCACCCCACAGCAAATTCACTCAGCCGGTAACTCCGTCGGATGAACCGTTTGACAACCCGACACAGTATCGACGTCTAGTTGGGGCACTTCAGTACCTGACTATCACGCGCCCGGATCTATCCTTTTCTGTCAATAGACTGTGTCAGTTTATGCATTCGCCGACCAGTGATCATTGGGGTCTATTGAAGCGTGTGCTACGGTATGTCAAAGGAACTATCTCGTATGGTTTGCGTCTTTCCGCTTCTGCTTCGACGACTATACATGGTTTTTCGGACTCGGATTGGGCCGGTTGTCCCGTCGACAGGAAAAGCACTAGTGGGTACGCTGTATTCCTGGGTGACAACCTCATTTCCTGGCTATCTCGGAAGCAGCGCACGGTCGCCCGATCCTCGACTGAAGCTGAGTATAAAGCTCTCGCCGACGTGTCAGCTGAGGTAACCTGGGTTGTTTCACTTCTTCGTGAACTTGGGCTACATTCGGGAGAGCCGTCCACACTCTGGTGCGATAACCTGGGTGCTACCTACCTTTGTGCCAACCCAGTGTTTCATGCTAGGACCAAGCATGTAGAGATTGATTTTCACTTTGTTCGAGACAAAGTGGCTTCGGGTGACTTGGTTGTTAATTTTGTTTCGACGAAGGACCAGCTAGCTGACATATTTACCAAGCCATTGCCAGGGCCCCGCTTTGCAGCTCTACGTGACAAGATCAACATTGTTGCTCACCACTCTTGAGCTTGAGGGGGTGTGTTAGAGATGTTATTATTTACATTATTATTTGTATTAGTTATGTTGACTAGTCTTTATATTAGACTAGTTATTTATGGCTTTCCTAGTTAATAGGATTAGTTCACGCTGTGTATTTAGAATACTGTTCTGTAATCTCTATTGTGTTGAAATTGAAACTGCAATCCTTATCTCATCATAATAATAATAATAATAATAATTATTATTATTATTATAATTTATAATTTATAATAATAATAATAATAATAATAATAATAATAATAATAATAATGTTTTCATTATTTTACTTTCTATCTAACCCATTTTATTACTATTGGACACAAATATTATTTACAATTAATATTTAATATGTATATAATAATAAAAATGTTAATACTAATTATTTATATAATTTACAATTAAAATTTAAATCTATCTATACTATTAATAAATAAAAAAATCATCTTTTTGTGAAATTCACGCCCAAACAATAATAAATGTAAATTGTAAAAGAAAACTAATATTATTAATTAATTAAAAATATAAAAGGGTCTTAATGAAAAAGGAAACCGGTCGGAAATTAGTCAAATTGAAAAAGGAAACGAATATTATTTATTAATTTACTAAAAATTATAAATATCCCTAATTGACTTAAAATAGAAAATGAGATTATCGGATCAATGCGAAATAATATTTGATTAAGAATGTAAATTGAAAAATGAAACTGATGTTCAAATTTAAATAATTATATATCAATTCAAATATTCTTAATATATTACAACAAATCTATTCCGTGTATGCACGGGTGCAAATACTAGTAAACCAAAAAACAATAGTCATAGATCTAACTAAAATCAAGAGTCAACATTTGACAACAAACCTCAAGTAGAAACATTACCTGATTTGATCCTCTCTCTCTCTCTCTCTCTCTCTCTCTATATATATATATATATATATATATATATATATATATATATATATATATATATATATATATATATATATATATATATATATATATCTGCTATACTAATAAGAGCCCAAGAGAGTTAGGCTTATAATGGGTAGAAAAAGTGGCGGTTAAATTTTGTAATCAGATGAATGGCTCAGATTGATCAGATTTTAATTTTTCCTTTAGATTTCCTAATTTATCCTTAATGAATATGATTTTCCGTTAAATATTATCTTTTCCGTTAATTTCTGTTAGTTCACCGTTAACTTACTCATTGATTTCAATAAGAAAGGTCTTAGGTTCGAACCCCATCCCAATCAAAGTTGGCAAAATTAGTACTCTATTTTACTCTTATTAAATTAAATAATAATTTAGTAGCTACAACAAAAAATAATACATATGCATTTCTTTAATTTTGAATTATGTGTTTACAATGTCTTTATTCAAAAAAAATTATTCATTATCAATAAATTGAATAAGATAAATAATTTCATTAGTTATATTGTATTTATTTTTCTCCAATATAAAAATTCTTTACATTATATTCAAATTCATCAATTGATTATATTCGCTACATTGTCCCTACAATGTCTTTATTAAAAAAAATTATTCATTATCAATAAATTAATTAAGAGAAATAATTTTATTAGTTATATTGTCTTTATATTTCTCCAATGTAAAAATTCTTTACATTCAAATTCATCAATTTATTATATTCACTACATTGTCCATATTATCCTTTTTGTGCACTATTTTTTAATTAAATATCAAAGTTATAATACAAAATAATGATATATATTTATTTATCAAGTATTTTATTAATACCATGAAAAATTTAAAAATATAATTAATAAAGTCTATCATATTAACTACTTTGAGGGATTTGTTGTCAAAGAGAGTATTCAAATCACACAACAAATTGAAGTGAGAACTACCTCGCAATGTCCTTGTTTAACAATCAGCAATTAGCGGTTAGCTTTAGCAGATTATATTAGCGAATTTGACTAGTGAATTATATCAATGGTTGGTAAAAAGATATTTGAAAAAATTATCTGATTAACATGTAAAATGACCTAAGGGTATAATAATAATAATAATAATAATAATAATAATAATAATAATAATAATAATAATAATAATAGTAATAATAATAATAATAATTGTTATAAAAAAAATAAAAAATATAATTAAGTCAATCATATTAACTGCTTGGAGGATTTATTGACAAAAGCGTATTCAAATCACACAAAAAATTGAAGTGCAAAACTATCTCACAATGTCCTTGTTTGACAATCAGCAGTTAGCTCTTCAATATTAGTATATATTTAATATTTTATGCCGGAATTTTTATTTTCTCTCCCTTATGTCCCGTATTTGGTTTCAACCATACCTATACAATAATTTTATTGACAATTATAATTAATCTTTTACTATATTATCTTGCATTTTAAACTTAGAATTACATATTTAAATACGCAAATTTAACATTTAATTATCTATGCATGAACAACTCCAATATAATCTTGTCTTGATATACTTTAAAGTACTTATTTATTAAAAAAAAACATTGAGCATTATCTCAATCGCGCATTGCGCGTAAAATACTAGTATATATATATATATATATATATATATATATATATATATATATATATATATATATATATATATATAGATTATTTTTTAAAAAATAAAGTTAAAAAGAAAAATAAAAAATGTGGACGTGAGGTGCGAACGTAGATGTTATCTTTGCCTTAATAAGTGGATTAGGATTTAGGTGCCGGAAATCAGACACATCAGATCAGATGATTGAGCTGACTCATTCCTTCTATCCATCCAGCCACCATGTTCAAGTGTTTCACATTTCAAAAAAACAACATTACTCCGTATAATATTATTATAAGTTGAACAACCTAAAATCCAAAAATATTATAGCATCTCTGATCTAATGCGCAAATTATTCGGTGAGCCCGAGTCTAAATATTCATAATTTACCATTTAAAAATTCATAATTTGTATACTACGAACACACAATATCAACATATATGTAATTGATTACCTTGTTTTGTATTCACAATTTCCTTTCAAATACTCAAGTCACACAATATTAAACACTATTTATATTCTAGAAACACTATTTATATTCTAGAAGTTCACAATTCCAATACTAAAAATACACAATTTATACATCGTTTAGGACCAGAATCTACCTTACAAGGTGAACCACTGAACCTGGTCAATGGTATAACAATTGGCAAAATACCATACACTATACTCAGAATATCATTCTTTTTACCCCCCCTCTCCCCCATCCCATTTTATGGCTTCTTGAGATCTTAACAAGACAATTTGAGCTGAGCTGAGAGGGTGAGACTCTACTCAGCATCTGCCAAGTGCCAATGGATCAACCATATCCGATCCCCAACCTTTGCTAAGAAGAGACGTGCAAGGATCTCCCATTCCAGACAATACATATCACTACAGTTTAGTGTTACCTTAAAACCTCATCAACACATCATTTTTCTCTCATGTCTACTTGTTCTTTGTCATCATCAGAAACAAACCATGAAGATTGGAATTGTTGGGTTTGGCCCTTTCGCCCAGTTCCTGGCAAAAACCATGATCAAACAAGGCCATTCCATAACAGCATCTTCGAGATCAGATTACTCAGAAGTCTGCAAACATCTCGGAATAGCATCATTCTACAGGTACAAGAAACCAAGTCTTACTAGATTGTCTGTCACACGTAAGAAATTAAGAATGTAAGTTTTCATGTAAACTTGTGTCTGGCTTGCACATAGGGATATGGCTGCGCTTTTCGAATCAGACAATGATGCTATACTTATATGCACATCAATCCTGTCGCTAAAACAAGTTGTCAAGTCTATGCCATTTCATTGCCTGAGACGGCAAACACTCTTTGTCGACGTACTGTCAGTAAAAGAACACCCCAGAGATATCCTTCTGCAGGTAACTAAACGTTTAAGCTAATAGCAAGACTATACATTTATGTTTTATATAGTATATGCACAACATAACGTTCTATTCATGCTTATAAGTTGTTTTATCTTATAGCTATATATATACTTACAATGTCTGCATGTCTCTGTGAAAGGTGTTGCCCGAGGACTCGGACTTGCTCTGCACTCACCCGATGTTTGGACCAGAAAGCGGGAGAGATGGGTGGAAAGACTTGGCTTTTATGTATGACAGAGTCCGGATTAGAGATGAAGCGTTATGCTCTAGTTTCCTGCAAATCTTTTCCAGTGAGGTAATTAAGCACTAGTTAAAGTTTCCATGAAAACTTTCCTGTCTCTAAGCAATACAGTAACGAGCTGTGCAGGGCTGCAGAATGCTGGAAATGACCTGCGAGGAGCATGATAAACAGGCTGCAAGAAGTCAATTTATCACGCATACAATTGGAAGGTACGTTGTAATCATTGGCAACGACCAAACTAATGAATAGAGCATAACAGATAAAGATATAGAAGAGTACCGCATAACAAATGTCTTTTACTTGTAAGTAGGATCTTATCAGAGATGGAGGTTGAATCCACACCAATAGACACAAGAGGATTTCAGAAGCTCGTTCAAGTGGTAAGAAATTGTGCATCTAGAAGTCATTTCATCTTCTGGTTGACAAAAGTAGTGTAATGCTATCACAAAAGAGTCTAACTATGTACCACTTTCAGAAGGAGACCACTTCAAAACACAGTTTCGATCTATTCAGTGGGTTATTCATTCACAATAGGTTTGCCAGGCAGCAGGTAAAGAACAGTTACCGTTTCTCTGCAACAATGTTGAGATCTCATTTTGTTGATGCAAATCTGAATCAACAACAATTCAATATCACTGAAATCCATAATCATATGCAGATGGAGAGTTTAGAACTAGCCTTTGAGAAAACCAAACAGAAGCTGCAGGAGAGGTTAAAGGAGGAGCAGGATATAAGCATGATTAACCATCATTGACTCATAGCATATTTCAATGTTTATCTTTGTCTAGTGTACCAAAGCAATTTTAGCACTGGTTTAGAGACAGTTCTTATATGAATATGTTGTTGGTTGCTGGTCCCCGTACCTACATAAGGCCAGGTGTATTATATAGCAGGCTTCAACCAATATAGTTTATACAAACGGAGGTGACAGTTCTCAAATGAAGTACTTATCAGATGTTGCAACGCATACCATACCAATATAGTCCCAATTTAGTGCAACTGAGAGAATCGGTGATTAACTTGCAAATCATAAACCTGTACTTTTGGCAGATTTTTGGTTTAGATAAAGATGTGCCATTCTTCAGTAATTTTACAAGAACTACAGATTACAGTTTAAAATTCAAAGCATTAGAGCAAAAGAGAAGCAAACAGTGAATTTTATATCATTCAAATATACAATATCCATCTGTTATTTACATCACGTGGTTCAATATGAACGCAAATCTGAAATTTCAGAATGTGCTTAACAAAATTTGGATCTGACGGAATGTATAAATTTTAAATCGAAGATGAAGAACCAAAACTTTTGCTTACATATTATGAGAGAAGCTTCCAATAAAGCTGGAAAAGGGAAAGTGTAACTATTGATTATTGATTTCATCAATATTTGTATCATCTGCGGCAATATTGCAACCAACTGCAGCATTTGAGGATTCTGGATTAAGTTGGGGATCAGGTTCAGTTGTTCGAGCTTGAAGTCCTGTAAACCGTGCAAGGTCTATCCATTGCTGTTGGAGATTGGGAAATGTAAGTATCAACTCATGTTAAGAAAGAAGAGAATTGCAAATATAAGCAACTATGTTGATGTTATCAACAGTGAAATAAATTAAACATGCAAGAACAGGGTTGAAAAATCAGAAGCATGGAAGATGAATGGATATTAAGTTGTATCTACCTGGGTGCCCCAGTATGAGTTGATTGTTCGAGCGACAAAAGATAGCATATTTACAAGTATAGTCTGGTCAGAGAACTGGTCTGAAATTCGGTGCTCTACTACTCCAGCAATTATCTGCATCATAGATTTATGTTGTCTAGTACTCCGTAATACATATAAAAAGATAAAAGAAATAGAACTGAACATAAAGACAGTGTTCTTAGACTTTTACTAACAAAATCAGGCAAGATTTATATACTCTCTGGAACAGTAAGACTACTTTTATTAAGTTCTATGCAACAGACGTTTTCATCAATTATGCAGAAATGGCAACAAAGCTAACCATGATAATTAAATTGAAAAAGTAAACACAATATGAGCCTTGGTGCAGAAAGAAATATGAGAAAAGGTTTCAGTGTTAACCTACCTGATACCTTAAATTTGCTGATATTCCCAGAAAAGTGCTGTATACAAGTGCTGTTTTCAGTATTGGAGATCGCTTATTCCGTAGTTCCCTAGCAAGTGATGGGCTTAGTATTTTGCGTACTCCAAACAATATATTGGAGGATGCCACTGCTCCAATACTTGAAATGAATCCTACACCGGCCAATTTAAAACCACCAATAATCACTGATGCTACCCTATGACTCAAACCCCAGTCCTTCCCTGCAAGACTTTTTTGAAATGCGTTATCTGGGATGGAGTTCAGGAGACCTTTAACTGCTTCCATGCTTTCAGGCACATCAACATCATTAGTGACTGGTAGGAATGAAATTGTAGGGGCAGGAAGCCACACTGTAAAAAAGTCTACAACTATTCCCCTAAAAGTATCTGTTATAACATAATCAATCTCTTCAAAAAAGTTTTCTTTACGCCTTTCATATTGTGCTAAGAGTGTAGTTGTTATTGATATAGCTTCTTCAATAGCTAGTCGATGTAGAAATTTAGGATCCGCCAATAGTCTCTCTCTAAAACCCTGCATCAAAAGAGTTTCTCCATTATTTTATACCCACTAGAGAAGAGAAAAGGTGAATTGGTTGGGGAGACGTGTAACTGATTGAAGAATACCCTGTTTTTCTCAATAGATGGGAGAATAGATACCTGAAAACGATGAGTTAATTCTGAAATAAAAGGATATTGCTCTAAATCAAAAAAGTTCTGCAACATTTCTGGTGATACAAGTCCCAGATCTAATCCTTGTTGAAGGTCCTGCAAAACATATAATTTCAATGCAACAATAAGATGGATCAGTCCAAAGCTCCTTTTGGTAAATTTCCAAAGACATGCATAATAAAAAAAAAAGTTAGTTATCTCCCATACTTCCTTGCAATCCTATTTTGTTTAAAGGACAAAATGTAATACTGAGAATTTGGTTATAGGCAATGAAAAATTGACCCCATTAAAGCATTAAAGATTGACAAAAAAACAGCTTCAAGTATATTATTACAACCAAGTTATGAGGTGATGACGCTGATCAATTAGAAACTAACCTGAGGTAAGGCATCTCGCCTCCTGCCAGCTGCACTCATCACACGTGAAATTTCAACACGATCAAAGCAATTTCTGCTACAAGGTCGAGCTGCAGAGTACCACAAGAAATCAGCAATAGGTACTTCTCCCTCTCGTCTTATTTGTTGCCTCTCAGGATCAAGTAATATAACAATTTGATTTTTCTTTTGCATCTTCCTGGAAATTCTGGCCGGCACCCCTGTCCCCCTTGATCCATACATTACATGAGTTGCACCTGTGACAACTAAAAGCAAACCAGTGTTTCCATCATCTGCAACAGCTTGTAAGATAGTCTGAGACATAGCATATTCTTCAACCACTCTTGCTTGTGTAGAAAAATATGAGCTTGATTCAAATGGAGTGGACTGGTTCGGCAATTTTATATCAATAGATGCTCTGCGTGAAATTGAAGTAAAACCCGAATTGAAGCCTGAACCAGCTGGAGGGACATACTTCTTACGATCTGCTTTAGAAAGGCCACGAATACCCTCTGCTTGAACTGTTCGTTGGACCTAATTACAAAGATTATAATATATGAAATCCAATGTGTGTTGTCAACACTTGAAAGTAAACATAGAGTATACTTGTGCTGGAAAATATAGATATGGAGCAACAGATATTGCCGTTAATGGTAGAGCTTATTTTCATAAATTTCATCAATACTATGTACAAGTAGTGTTTAATATCTTAACTTTTTCCTGATATTAAACATTGAAGAGACAACCATTTGAATACCTCTAGTGGTAAACCACACGCAACCAGCCGAACACCATTATCGCGGCAGTAAGTTAACAGAGGTTCATACTCCTGCCACCGCTCAGGCGGCCAATGTGTTACATAAGACCTTAAGCTTTCTTCATCAATTCTGCCATCAAATATGATTCTCAATACATCATTTTTATATAATTTTTTTTTTCATCCCTTTTCTTTTATCAAAGATGAGCAATATAATATTCCATAATCATAAGAAGACAAGAAGTAAACTAACTAATCAAATAATCATTGCAATGAATGTAGTTTGAGATGAAATATTGCACCTTCCAGAGATGTACTGGTTCAGTTGTTCTTGTAGGTTAGAAGGAAACGCTTCAAAAGCCAAAGAAATACGCCTCTCCTCCTCAGCACATCTCTTCTGCAAAATCTTCAAAATCTGAAGCTCCAATTCCTTATCATCACGGGTCGGAACTTGCTCCGCTTCCCCCAAATACACAATCCGACCGCTCATTAGCTTCTCCCACACCTTCCTCTTGTCCTTCCCCACCGCCAACGGCTCTCCAATCACCGTCGCATCGTAAATCCTCGAATTTATCACCTCCTCCTTTTCCTCCGCCTTCGGCACGGACGACGGAGCCTCTGCCGCCGTCACCGCCGCCGCGGCGGACTGCGGCGCGGAACTCTCCTGCGGCTTCTCGTCCGCTCTCGCAACCGCGGAACGGAGCACACTAGCTCCGAGAACGAGTAAAGGCGTGACGAGCACATCTCGCCTCCTCATCCCCCTCGTCGCCTGACTACTCGAGTCGCTCTCCGCCCGAGTGTCGCCGCAGCGGACTGAAAACCTCAAGTGGCGCGGGAAGTCTCGGCGGTGCTGAACTTCCGGCGGGTGAAATGGACGGCGGTTGAGCGGCGTTGCATGGAGGTGGAGTGACCTGAAAGTGATGCCACGTTGAGCGTGGTGGGGCTTCATTTCCAGATTTCGCCCTGAGATGGACCGTTGCGCATTCAACTCTACCAATCAACCAATTCAATTTTAGTTCTCAGCCTTAAAAATATTTTTCTGAAATAAATCCAAAATAATAATAATAATAATAATAATTTTTCTGAACAATAACAATGATTCTCTGGATTTTTGTTTTCCTTTTTTTAATGTACACATCTCATATTCCTCATCTCCTGTCCACATTTACATCCATATCATTTCAATTGTTTTACGTGTACTTTACAACTTTTTCCGATGCCACGCTCAAAAGTCAAAAGTATACGCCTTATTTACTATAAAGAGTTAATGGCACATGAGATTTATTCTTAAAATTTTAAATTAGTTATGCTCTTTCAATTTTTGTTAACATTCATGATCCAAGTTAACTATTCATGATCATTAACTTTTAAAAGTTAACCAACTATGGTCCTTTACAAAAAATCACATAAATTCGGCAACCAATTGCATTGGAATGAATTCAATTGGTACATGAGAAAGAAAATCACATAAATCGAGAATGCAATTGGTGCCGAATTTAAATAATAAATAAATAAGAGTGATTCTTTATAAAATTTATTCGTGAGACAAATCTAGTCAAGATATAAATTTAATACTTATATTAAAAATGTAATACTAGTCATGACTTTTATACAATTTATAATTATACTCTTAAAAGGAGAATTATATTTATATTGGTGCAAAACTACATTCATTCAACTCACCAAAAAAAAAAAAAAAACTACATTCATTCATCTTCAATATGGAACAAGTGATACTTAAAACCGGCCTTTTCAATTTCATTTTTACTACATTCGTGCAGGGGCGCACTCGTCCGAATTAGATAACTCTGAGGCTTAGTCTCTCTTTCTTCACCAAAAAAAATATGGAACAAATGATACTTAAAACCAGCATTTTCAATTTCATTTTTTCACCTTAAATAAATATACATTTGATAATTAATTTCTCATTTACTAATTATCTATTTTGGACGTATAATATATCAAATTAAACATTTGACTTAAGAAAATTGAATCCACTTTGACCAACTTAAATAAAAAATGGACCTCACTCAAAATAACCACTTTAAATGCTATATATAAGGTAAATTGTGGGATGTGTTTAATGGCATAGGGTCTGAGTGTTTATTTTTTATCCCAAGATTGAGATCCTCCCTCATTAAAGATTCGAATCCAGATATTTATTGAGTCACTATATCTGCACTCAATCTTTCGATGACTGAGTTATGTCCCGGGACGACTCGGATTCATATATGTATGCAGGTAGTGTGGGGTATTCTTTTTCCTTTGCCACGAAATTGGAATTTGAAAATTTGTAATTTATAGTGAATTATATTGGTTGGTTGGCGGATATGCATGAGGTTAGCAAGTTGGAGTCCGAGTTGGCTTTTGTGGCTCTCGTAGTAAAACGTTGCGTACCAAATTGCCATGCAAGTATGCGTTGATAGTTTCAACTAAAAATCGAATTAAAGAAAATTTCATTAGAAACTCATATATACATACATACATTGATTAACTTTCTATAGGTATTGATGTATGTAATAGGTAATTCAAAAACCAAACTCATAGGTATATATTATACAATATTAATTTTCTATAGGTATTGATGTATGTAATAGGTAATATTAATTTTTATTTATAACTTTAAGGATTTCAAAATTTAATTAACAATTTTGATTAATTGGTTAACCAACTGATTAACTGAAAAAAAAATTGGTTCATTTAATTCAGTAATAGAAATTTTGGTTTGGTTAAAGGTTTAGAAATTTTGATTAATTTGCTTCAGTTAATTAGGATGTACACATTTGGTTAAAGTAATTTTAAATTTTTTTAAAATTAAAAGTATTGCATTTTTTTCACTTTATTATTAGTCTTTTCTTAGCTTCCGTTAATCATTTTGAAAACATTTAGCTATAGAATGTTTTTACTCATTAATGAGTATTTAAATGAATTTACAGAGAAAATAAAGTTATGACATGACGTTTTTGACTTAAAATATGTTTTCAGTTATTTGATGTGTGCTTTGGGAGGAAACATATGGATTTGCTTATTGACTCTTCCTTGTCGCGGCCGGGAGGCGCCTAGGCGCGACTTTTGCAACACTTATTATTATTATTATTAGGAAAAATGGTCAAATAGGCCCTCGAACTTTAGCTTAAAAGTCAATTAGGCCCCTAAACTTTCTAAAGGTGCAATTACACTCATCAACAATTCATTTAAGTGCAATGAAGTCCAAAACACAAATTAATGACCTGCTATCACAGGTCATTAGGGTTCAGGCCACCTTCCGGCGAATTTTTCGGCAAAAAAAAAAAAAAAAGTGACCGGAGAAATTTTCGACAAAAGAAGTGACCGGCGAAATTTTCGGCAAATCTAGGTCGGTTGCTAGTCACATTTTTTTTGTTGGAAAATTCGCCGGAAGGTGGCCTGAACCTTAATGACCTGTGGTAGCAGGTCATTAACTTGTTTTTGGGCTTCATTGCACCTAAATGAATTGTTGATGGGTGTAATTACACCTTTAAAAAGTTTAGGAGCCTAATTGACTTCTAAGCTAAAGTTCGAGGGCCTATTTGACCCTTTTCCCTTATTATTATTATTATTATTATTATTATTATTATTATTATTATTGTTGTTGTTGTTGTTGTTATTGTTGTTATTGTTATTATTGTTATTATTATTATTATTATTATTATTATAGGTAAACATTTATTCTCTTCGTGAATCAGGGACTAGGTGAAGCGTGACGCTGAATCGGAGCCCTCGCTGACAAGCTACCCCTACTCCACCATAATTTCTGATTCTTTCCAATCTCGCTCCCTCTCCTTCCATCTCGGAAAGAAGCTCTGCTCCTCCACTCTCCTCTCCGACCTCTTCCTCAACACTTCTCCTCCGATCCGTCCCTCCGTGCAACCACCGTGGATGACGTGTGCGCCGTCCATCTCCGCGACCCTATTAGCTATTGATGTTATGCATGGTAGAATGGGTTCTAAGAAGATGATGGCTGGAAGACATGTAAACAAAGCGGAACCCAATTTTAGTGCATCTGTTCGTAATCTATCTAAGAGTGATTTAGGAGCAGTTATCTTTGGATGTAAACATTATACAATTCAAGAATGCTTTTCCAAGAAGTTATTTGGTTAGTCACTCCTTCACATATTGTGCTTTCTACCTAGAAGAAATTTTGCAGTGTTTGATGATTATTATGTTGATTCCAATTTTTTGTTGGATAGGATTGCCACATCTACATTCTCAATATGTGAAGAAGGTTAGTCCTGGGCTTCCACTTTTTCTTTTTAACTATAGTGATCGGAAGCTCCACGGTATATTTAAGGCTGTTGGTTATGGACAATTAAATATTGATCCACAAGTGGTGCCATGCTTTGACAGAAGACCAGTTTTCCCCCATCATTGCTGATAACTACTATGAAACAAAGCTTTTTTGGTTTGAGGTGGACAAGTTTCAAACTGCTAAACTTATTGAATTGTTTTCATCTTCATCAGTGCCTAATGATGGTCTTCATTCTCGCAATATTCCTAGAATTACAAGTGAAGCTAGTACCTCTCTCGGACAGAGTAATGCTCATCTTCCATTTGAACAGAATAGATGGAGTGCACTGTTGAGTGATGATTCAACTTCTGATACGGTGAACAAAGATCGAAATTTGAAGAATGTCTTCCATTTGAACAGAAAGCTTGGAGTTCACTGTTCATAGATAATTCAGCTTCTGACATAGTGAACAAATTTGGAAATTTGAAGATTGGGTCCAATCTCGCCCCCTCTCATTCCGTTTCGGAAACAACCTCTGCTCCTCCACTCTCCTCCCCGACCTCTTCCTCAACACCTTCTCCTCCAATCTGCCCCTCCGTGCAACCACCGTGGATGACCTGTGCGCCGTCCATCTCCGCGACCCTACTTGCATTTCCTTGGGTAAGCATTTATTCTCTTCGTAGATCAGGGACAAGGTGAAGCGTGACGCCGAATCGGAGCCCTTGCTGGCGAGCTACCCCTATTTCACCATAATTTCTCATTCCTCCCTATCTCGCTCTCTCTCCTTCCATCTTGGAAATAAGCTGTCCTCCTCCACTGTCCTCTCCACGCTCCTCTACGACCTCTTCCTCAACACCTTCTCCTCTGATCCGTCCAGGCCGGCCCTGAACCCGCGCTATGAGCCTCCAAATTTTGGGGGCCCTTATTATTATTATTTTTTTTTTAAAAGAGAAGTTACCGTGTATATATATATATATATATATATATATATATATATATTGATTCTGCGTTCACAGTTTTGAAAAAAACAAGCCGACAAACTTATTACTACCCTAGTCCCTAATCTAGCTTACGAATTGCGAAAATTTGCAGAGAACTTACAACTCACGAGAACTACATAGTTAACAACAAATTGTCTAGGACTCTAGGTATTTGTCTATTTGAACTAATTCAAATATTTAATTTGTGTTTTTAATTTAATTAAGTATTTGAGTAGTGTTTTTTGAGTTACTAATTAATGATTATGCAAAATTGCAAATCAAATTTGCAAATTTGGGCATTCTCAATTTAGTTAATAAGTTATCAAAGACAACAATTTGCAGGCATTAGATAAACTAATTTAGTTTTATTCGTTGTCCAGACAGTGCAATTTAGTGAATTGACGCAAAGACGGCAAATTTAACTCGTATGCTATTGATTCTTCAATTCTTTTTTTTTTTTTTCTTTTTATCATTCAAACTCTGAAGTTCTTCAATTCTCTTGACACGTAATTAAAATTATGTATTGTTTCACAATTCTTGTTTATTGTGTTATTTACATGACTTAATAATTCTGATTTCAGAATAATATATTAAAGAATTTGTTTATTGATTAATAATTTATTCGTAGAGTTTCTAAATAAATTTTTATTATTTTCGTTAGGATTTTATGTCTTCTAGAAAATATTCATCTGGGTTTGAGAAGTGTAAAAAAGAAAAGAAGAATTAAGCAACTAAACCAATCTCAAAAGGGAGCTCTTGAAAAACACATTACAAAAAAATAAAATAAAAAAAATACTCAATTAGATGAGCAAAAAGATGATGCC